AAAATTGAGTTTTTTTAAAGAATAGAATTAGAATAGAGAGTGCTAGAGTTAGAGGGTCAAATAATTATACACAGTGTATATGTATATATATATATATATATATACATACAGTATACACAAGCCAGAAAGCTAATGTTTTGTTTATTAAAATTATTAATTACTTTATTTGATACTATTTAATTTAAATAATATTTTATCTAAGACCTATAGAAACAGCACCCCAGAATGGCTATTTGGTGTTTCCCATCCCCACATGGCCTCTCTGATTTCCTCTCCTACCTTTCCCGTCTCCTCATTCATCATGTGCAGTTCCTGCTCGCTGAGCCAGGCCTCCACCTCTCCTGCATCAAAGTAGTACTGCTGCGCCTGGTACATGACATCCAGCCGGAGCTGCCGGTGCTCGGTCTCGGTCCACAGCACCTCCCACAGCTGATGGAGCTGCTCCATGCCAGCCCTGATGCTGTCTGCTTCTGGACTGCGGATGGACGCGATCACACCTGCTCTCTCCAGAACATCCTCCACACGTCCACGATGACCTTGAAGCTCCCTCTGCAGACTCTGAGAGGAGATGACCATGAGAAACACAGTCAGCGATATCCATATCTCTATATGTTTCTGTTGAGCACAAGAATAATGTGGGATAGTTCCCAACCCTGGTCCTGGAGGCACCCCAACATTGCACATTTTGCATATCTCCTTTCTCTGACACACCAATTTCAGGTCTTGGAGTCTCTACTAATGAGCCGATGGCCTGAATCAGGTGTGTTTGATTAAGGAGACATGCAAAACGTGCAGTGTTGGGGTGCCTCCAGGACCAGGGTTGGGAACCATTGGGATAGAGCATTTTAAGTAGCCTAAAAGCCTGTTCACGCTAAGAACAATAAATTATTGTAATTCTTTGAGAAGAGGAAAGTCCACACCACAATTACAACGATTCCGTGACTCTAAGTGTTTTACAGTAAATTCCATTTTTATGACTGGATTCTGCAATTCCGTCCATGTTTTCCACATTGCGGAAATCATACAGACCTAAAATTATAACCCCACTTTGACAACCCCTTGGTGCATAAAGAAGATCTGTAAAGTTGCAAAGACTAAAGTCTCAAATCCAAAGAGATATTCTTTATAAAAGAGTCAGCCACGCCTACCTAAAATGCCTCGTTCTAACACGCCCCCATTAGCAACGTCGTATCACCCCTTTAAAGGAATAGTTCACCCAAAAATGAAAATGTTGTCATCATGTACTTACTGCCATGTCATTCCAAACCTGGATAAGTTTCTTTCTTATGTTGAACACAAAAGAAGATATTTTGAAGAACCAAACTGTTGTTGGTCCTCACTGACTTCCATAGTAGGCAGGGGTGTCCAAATTTGGCCCATGGATGAATTTCAAACGGCCCGCAGCTCGTCTATTAAAATATATTAAATGTGGCCCGCCAAGCATAATTTACAAAATATGCAGTTTCACAATGTGACAAGGTGAAAGCACTAAATTTTAGACCAGATGTAGCATGATGACAAAATTTTCATTTTTGGGTGAACTATCCCTTTAACATTTATGCTGGTCTAAACTGTTCTCCACAAGATATAGAGTTTTTTTGACGCTGTCTTACTTGATTCTTCTTCATGAGTTGCTGTACAGCTTGCAAACTTGTCCCATATTCCTGAGAAGTGGCCACTGGAAGATGCTCTTTTATCCACAACTGCGGACAAACACATTCACAACATGTGGCACATTTCAAAATATATTAAAGTTAATGGTTATAATGAGGTTGTTAAACTCACAATTTCATCCTCAAGGTCACGGCCCACTTGGTGCACTTCTTTAGAGGCCAGCAGGATACGACGTCTCTCTTTCAGAGGCTCAATCAGTCGTACAATTCGCATTTCCACACCGGCTTGTTTCTCGGAGACCTTTTCCACCTGCCCCTGCTGAGGGATGGAGGCCGCATGGGCCTGCAGCTCTCCAACCTCTATATACCACTCCTCCATCTGACACTCCATCGTCTGTTAGAGGTGGAAGTGGAGTGAACATGATGAATGAGCAAAAGAACATCAATGAAGAGATCGGTTGAAATGTATAACAGGAAAGATGCACAGGAGAACGAAGTGGACGTCAAAGAGAGAGGGATGGAGAAATACACAGTTCAGCACAGTGGAGCACAGTTAAAAATGACGACAGAAAGAGGAGAGGAAGAACACCAGAAAGACCAAAGGAGACAGGAAGTGAGTTATGACATCATCATAAACTTTTCAAACTTCCAAAGAAAACTCATTAGCTCATTAATATTAAAATGTGCTTGTAAAAAGCTTAAGTCCTTGAAAATTCCAAATTACAATCAAATTACAGTAGGTATCAGGACATACACTACCATTCAAAATTTTGGGGTCTGTAAGATTTTTAGAAAGAAATGAATACTTTTATTCAGCAAGGATGTATTACATTTATCAAAAGTGACAGTAAGGACGTTTATAATTAATAAAATATTTATTTTTCAAATAAATGCTGTCCTATTGAATGTTCTATTCATCAAATAATCCTGAAAAAAAATCACAGTTTCAAAAATATTAAATAGCACAACTCAACTTCAACATTAATAATAATAATAAATGTTTCTTGAGCAGCAAATCAGCATATTAGAATGACTTCTGAAGGATCATGTGACACTGAAGACTGGAGTAATGATGCTGAAAATACAGCTTCGCATCACAGGAAAAAAAAAAACATTTTAAAATGACCAAAACAGAAAACAGCTATTTTAAACTGTAATAAAATTTCACAATATTACTATTTTTACTGCATTTTTCATTAAATAAATGCAGCCTTCTTTCAAAAACATTTAAAAATCTTACCAAACTCAAACTTTTGAACGGTAGTGTAAAGAAAGATCCACATGCCGTAACCCATTCGGCTCAGATGTTACATAAATTAAGACAGTGAAGTGTACCAGAGTAATTGACCAATCCAACACAATATATTCAGGGCTACAGTAATTACAGTAATGGGATTCAAACCTGTGACCTATTATTACAGACACACCATTGTTATTTTCATTCTGAAATGAGAAGCAGCAATTCATTGACTTAAACACAGTTAACATCAAACTAAAGGAGTATTACAAAAAATGCAACGGAACCTTAAAAAGAATCTAGAATTAGAATTACTACTTGAAATGTTTTGTTTTGACCGGCATACCTAAATGGAGAGACAGAGAGCTAACATATTTGAATATTTTAGAGAGCTTAAATGTTTAATTACAGTAAATGCTACTGAAGGCACACACACAGATGCTTCATAGGACTGGTCAGCCTGCACTGACCGCAACCTATGATGCACATATGAAATATATTCTGGTGAAGACTGATGGGAATTTAAAGAACATAAAAGCAAACTGAAAGAAAGACAGAGGGTGTGTGCAAATCAAGAAAGCGAAATGAAGATGCTACAATACCACTGATGGTGATGAGGGTGGAGTGATGTGGGGACAGAGCTGAAACTGAACTCAGATCAGCTGAGAGCCATGGCGAAAAAAAAAAACATTTTAAAATGACCAAAACAGAAAACAGCTATTTTAAACTGTAATAAAATTTCACAATATTACTATTTTTACTGCATTTTTCATTAAATAAATGCAGCCTTCTTTCAAAAACATTTAAAAATCTTACCAAACTCAAACTTTTGAACGGTAGTGTAAAGAAAGATCCACATGCCGTAACCCATTCGGCTCAGATGTTACATAAATTAAGACAGTGAAGTGTACCAGAGTAATTGACCAATCCAACACAATATATTCAGGGCTACAGTAATTACAGTAATGGGATTCAAACCTGTGACCTATTATTACAGACACACCATTGTTATTTTCATTCTGAAATGAGAAGCAGCAATTCATTGACTTAAACACAGTTAACATCAAACTAAAGGAGTATTACAAAAAATGCAACGGAACCTTAAAAAGAATCTAGAATTAGAATTACTACTTGAAATGTTTTGTTTTGACCGGCATACCTAAATGGAGAGACAGAGAGCTAACATATTTGAATATTTTAGAGAGCTTAAATGTTTAATTACAGTAAATGCTACTGAAGGCAAAAGGTTTGAAATATGCTGATGTATAAAAGGACAGGAAATATAACACAATAAAAACCACACACTCCCTTACACACACACACACACACACACACACACACACACACACTTTGCATAGTCTCTTCCTCTCCCACATCACTTGTCCTTTTTTCTAAACTTCCCTTTTCTCTTTTCACTCATCCTCTGAACTTGATTCTTCTCTTTTCAGAAGGTCATATCACACTCATACGGTGGACAGTGATGAGGCTCATATTACCAGCAAATGCAGCAGTGGAAAAGAAAAGAAAAGTCTTCAGCACAGGAATCGGAAAGAAATAAAGAGCAAATTAAAGGCACATTGGAAACCAGCAATCTGACAGATCAAAAATAAATCTGGAGGAAACATCATCTTGATGCACAAAGAGTTTCTAAGCTTGTGAGACTTACGAGAGAAGTGAAAGCTGCTGATACGTGTGTCTGTGAAATAAGAGTAAAGACCTGTAGTTTCTTCAGCTGCTTGTTGACAGTGGTCAGGTCCTGGCCGTAGTCCACATATGCCAGCTGTCCTTCAAGCTGCTCGAGTCGCTGGTCCAGGCTGGAGTAGCTCTGTACCAGCAGGTCGGCCCGGTTGGCCTCGAACAGCTGCCGGGCTTTGGCTTGGGTGGTGCTCTCCAGATCCTGCCAGCACTCACGGATCTCCTCCATCTTCTTCTTCACCAGCGCGCTCATCTCCGGCTTCTCCTGCATTAACCGCTGGCCCTCCTGAGAAAACAGATAACAGACAGAGAAAACCATCAGTATTCAGAGGTGAAAACTGACGCTTCTGTTCCAATAGTGGCACAAAATGGAACTGCAAAAGTAATGAAAGCTTCCAGGTAGGATTCGTAAATACTGCTGCCCTTGTTAAATAAAAAAAAGATAAAAAGTGCACTTTAGAATACTTTTTAAAAGAGTGCTTATTATGGAAATACTTTAAAAGTATATATTTGACATACTGGTAAAAAATGTATAGCCTGAATGCACTGTAAGTCGCTTTGGATAAAAGCGTCTGCTAAATGCATAAATTATAATTATATATTTAAGTGCGAGCTGAATATGTATTCAGACAATTATTTGCATGTTATATATAATTAAATGAAAACGTATTATAGTTTAACTGTATATTAAAGGGGTCATATGATGCGATTTCAATTTTTCCTTTCTCTTTGGAGTTAGTTGAACTTTTTACATAAATAGTACATTTTTATATGTAATTTGCAACATAATTACATCTATTGTCTTTGAAGTAATGTTAAAGTGTACTTTATAGTAAAAAGAATTATACTTTAGTGTCATTTTTATTGAAACTTGCATATCATGTATTTAAACATTTCTAATTACACATTTGTAATGAAGTTACAATTTAGTACATTTAAAATATATATTAACTATAATATCAAAAAACACCCTATAGTTACAATTCTAATCAAGTACAATCTTTACATGTGCTTTAGCAAGTTAGTCGACAAAAAAAATGAAAGAATGACAGAAGATTTTTAAAACAAAGATTTAAAATGTACTTTAAAGTAAAACTTGGAATTTGACATTATTAAAAACTGTACTTTTTAAAAGTGTACTTAAGTGTATTAAGAAACACTTAAGTGGCCTTTCATTTTATTAATATTATATTATTTTCTGCAAGTACAGTTTTCTAAAAATATACTACAAGTGCACATTAAATATAATTAAGTGCACCTCGTTTTCACAAGCGTGTAGTATTTATTTATTTTTGTTACTATAGAAAACATACGCCTTTAACTAAAGATTTGACACCAACATCCTCCATCTTTGCTTTTAACAATAAAAGCACATCTGTAAAAATACGCTGGCTAAATTTGATAGATTAACTAATGATTATCAGCTCACAGTGATCACAGGAGTGCTGAGGACTGTCCCTGTGACCAAAATCGCCCTATGCCTTTAAATAGGGCACTATTTGTGGGGACAGCCATATTTAGTGGTGTCCGAAACCTTAGTGGACTTTATCGAGTGCACTCGTTCAATCCCACAATGCACAGCGATAACGAGAGTACAACTGATTGATTTCGGATTCAGATTCACATGAGTACAGTTGGCCACGTCTGGACTCCAGCCTACCTAAAAGAAAACTGCACCTGCGTCACTTCAGATCAGCTCAGGACAGAGAAAGCTGATCTAACGATGAGAGCAGATGCTCCATCACAGACACACACAGATTATAAAACTGCTGAAGTCTGTTTGTTCCTCAGGCACTCATCTGTGCCTCCACATTTAGATAAAAAAAGTTAGAACTATAGAAACAGTTTTTTTAGAAGGTACGTTTGGCCTTTAGGCCTGTTATTGACACTATTAGCTACGTTCACTATTACTACCCTTGTGAAACTAAGTATGCTTAATTGTATCAAATGTGCACTTGTGGTGTACTTCAGCTCTTAGAAGTATATTTTGAAAGAACTGTACTTGCTGGTAATATAATATTAATTAAATTAAATACCACCTTAGTATACTTACAAAGAGAGTAAAAACTTAAGTACACACTTAAGTACACTTTTAAAAAGTGCACTTTGCAATAAAGTCAAATTAAAAGTACATTTTAAAGTACATCTTAAATCATTGTTTTAATAATCTTTTGTCGTGCTTTAAAGTACACTTACTTTAATGTGTACTACTACATACTAAAGCACATTTCATTTTAAGTAACAATTCAATATTACGTTTAAAGTTACTATATTTTAAATGTACTAAATTCCTCATTACAAATGTGTAATTACAAAAATATTTATATACTTGACACAAGTTTCAAAAGAAATTTCATTAACATATTTTAATTTATCATAAACAATGTTTCACATTTCCATACTTAAAGGGATAGTTCACCCAAAAATGAAAAATCTGTCATTAATTACTCACCCTCGTGTCGTTCCAAACTAGTAAGACCTTCGTTCATCTTCGTAACACAAATTAATATATTTTTGATGAAATCCGAGAGCTTTCTGACTCTCCCATAGACAGCAACAGAACTACCACGTTCAAGGCCCAGAAAGGTAGTAGGACATCATTAAAATAGTCCATGTGACATCAGTGCTTCAGCCGTAATTTTATGAAGCTACGAGAATACTTTTTTGTGTGCAAAGAAAACAAAAATAACGACTTTATTCAACAGTTTCTTCTCTTCCGTGTCAGTCTCCGCCGTGTGTTCACGAGAGTACCACGACACATGCATGAGATGCTGCTGATGATGCAGGAGCCGGAGTTCTGATGTAGAACCCATATGCACTGCGCTTTGTTTACAAGCAGAAGAAAACAGAAGCTGTACATAAAATATGTACAGCGTGTCTGATGTTTACATGTCTTTGTTAACATGTCTGAAGATTTCGAAAGAGAGGATGAATTGCAATTTTTTGCCCAGCCTTACTTATTTAAACCAGAATATACAGACGATGAACTAAGACAGATAGACGTTCTACGTCAGAACTCCGGCTCCTGCATCATCAGCAGCATCTCACGCATGTGTCATGGTACTCTCGTGAACATGCGGCGGAGACTGACACGGAAGAGAAGAAACTGTTGAATAAAGTTGTTATTTTTGTTTTCTTTGCACACAAAAAGTATTCTCATAGCTTCATAAAATAGAGTTGAACCACTGATGTCACAGTAACTATTTTAACGATGTCCTTTCTACGTTTCTGGGCCATAAAACATTTCAGTTGTGTTGTTGTCTATGCAGGGTCAGAAAGCTTTCGGATTTCATCAAAAATATCTTAATTTGAATTCCAAAGATGAACGAAGGTCTTACTGGTTTGGAACGACATGAGGGTGAGTAATCAATGACAAAATTTTCATTTTTGGGTGAACTATCCCTTTAAGTATTTTTTTTTTCAGTATATTGTTTCCATAACAAGTACTCTAAGTTTGCTAAAGTGTACTTCTTTTTCACAAGGGTAAAAAGTAACTCCTACATAGCAACCAATCAGAATGTCCTAGCAATCGCATAGCAACATGCTAAAAAATACTCGAAACATCTTACCAACCACATAGCAATGACCTGCAAACACCCTAACACAACGGCCACAACTTTTGCACGGGAAAGATCAACAACCACTCAAACGTTCTGTAGAAAATGTAAAAACCTATTTATATCTCCATTTCTGTTTTTCATTGTTTGTTCTCCAAATGCTCTTGTGCAAAAGATGTTTTTAGAGAACGCTTTTCCATATGTATTACAGACAGGTCTACAGAAGCTGGCATGAGCACAGACTAATCTGGTACACCTCACACACACACTGCCCCTCCCCCACTGGATCTCCACACAGACCATGGAGTCCTAAAATGCACATGCACATACAAACATGCAGCGTCCCTCTCCCAACACTGCCAACCATTATAATTCATCCTCCCTGTCAGGACTGGCTGAAGGGAAGGGGGTTGGTACAGCGATACAGCAGTGACCATGGAAATGATGCCCATGAGCACAGGAATCAGACCGGCTGCTACCCACTCACTCACACACACACACACACACACACACACACATGCCGACAGCCAATCAATGACATCACAGGCTATCTAAAGTATGTGAAAAAACAAAGCTGGATGCATGTAGCTATGAAGTGAAAAAAATTGGTGTAAGGTTTCACTCAAGTCCATTTCAAATAATTACAAAGAAACAAGTGAATTAAACATGAAATTAAACATTAAACATGATAAAGTATAAAGACTTCAAGACAAGTTGAAGTACTGAAAGACTGAAATAATATTTTCTTGTACAATGTAGCACAATTTTCTTTGTTTTATTAACAACTTTGAAAAATCTTTTTTTTTACTGCCAACAATATGTTATCCAATTAAAGCATAATTACATAATATACAAAAAAATGTATAAAAAATAAATGTTTTAAACCCCGGGTTAATACAGTTTAAACTCTGGAATCAGCAATGTTTCACGTTTATGAATCCTGCCTGAGTTGCAGTGCTAAACTAAAAAATGCTTGTTTAATTAAATATTCATGCTTTTTAAGTATGTAAATGAGAGGTTAACCCAGGGTGATGACTATAATGGCCAAACACGATTTAGCTCACACTGACATATATAATGAAAATAAATGATTAGTACTGCATTAAAACTAATGATTTATTTTATTACTACTTGTCAACATGAAACCGTATGAGTCGGAGCTGAACACATATGTGATTTGAATGCTGTATAGAGGCATGTAATGGCAGCTTCCACATTATTAGCACCTCTCAGTGATGTTGCATATGTGCAATCTGATGGGAGTCTGTCCCAGTCGTGCATGTCACATTGCAACAGCTGCTGCAGAGTCTTTTTTTAATGTGAGAACAAAGCTTGGAAATAGGACAAGTGACCTCTAAAGGTTACATTAGCTGTGTATTATAAATGGATATTTATTGCTCTGTATGCCTGAAGGTGAGATAAGAACACAGAGGCTGAGAAAGGGGGCATTTACATGACTCCGTTTTCAACAAAGAACGGATTTGGCCCGTTCTTTTAAAGGGGTCATATGATGCTTTTTTAAAGATCATTATTTTGTGTATTTGGTTTAACAGAATATCGTTTTGGGAGCCTTTGGGAGAACGGGTTTTCAAAACGGTTTTCAAAGTGTACATTTTTGAAAACGATACTGTTATTGTCTCTGTGTAAACTACAAAAATGTGAATTTGTGAAAACAGTGACGTCCTGTGGACGCATATTACGTGTTCAGACTATAGGTATGTGTGCAGGT